GGGAAAAAAAGCTAGGGATGGTTAGGGATGTCTGCCAAAGGGACATGAGAATGTAATGGGAAATTCTAAAGAGTTACAGATCCTGAACTAACATATAGCAGGGAATATGATGAAAGCAGGGCAAAAACTCATGAACTGAGAATGACTGGGGGACTGCCAGTCTGAATTAGAGACTATTTAAAATTAGATAAACTCTTCCTTTTTAAATACATTATTTTAAGATTTGTATTCATTTTCTTTGTTGACTGACGCTTATTTGCTGTTATTTCTTTGTTTTTTCTCCCCTACTGAACTATTAAATTCAAGTGCCTATCACAATATTGTCTCAGAATAAAAATGAATTTATGAATGAATTTATTAAATGAATGAGTGAAAAAATATAGATGGTTACCAGGCTAAAACCTTTACCTTGTAGAATTTCCTAAAGTTGTTTGTTTCTTCAATATGTAATAAGGGTGCTTTGTAACTTGTATATAAACTACAATTTTGGAGTAACTGAGGGCTTCCAAAACCCTTAAGGGAAACATATAACAATTTGATCTTGATGTATTAATTTTCCTAGACCTACCCCAAACCACAGGTATCAGCTGCTTCAAAGAACCTGCATTTTTAAAGCTCCCAGGAGAGTATGAATATTAGGTTTGTGAAGCACTCCCTCAGTAGTGCATTATTAAGTGTTCTCAATGAAAAAAGCATTTAAACAGAGCTGCAAGTTAGAATTAACTGGGGAAAATTGCCAAAATATTTACATTTGAATCCTCCGGAAGCAGCTGAATTAGTCTGCAGAGAAGGGGTCCAGGAATGTGCATTTGTAAAAAATTTTGCAAGAGAATTTGGTTAGTGACCACTGTGTCAATTTCAGCTCAAATTCTGCCTGAATTATCCCAGTTTTCTAAAGAAGGAGGACTTAATCAACAAAGCCATCCTGCACAAAATTTTAAAAGGCACACCTGAAGTAATTGCCCCCTGGACATGGCAAAGCTGGGGTGCTATCTAGATTAATGGTGTTTGGAGAACAGCTTCCCAAGCAGAGCAGCCACACACACATCCCCTGCTCCAAGGAAAAATTGACATTCAGCCTCAGCACAAATAGTTACACTTTGCTCTGAGTACACCACATCAGATATATCACATTTCTTTCTGAGCCCCTGAGTATGAGTGGTCTAAAAACTGGTGTGGGTTTAGGTGCAAAAATCCAGAATGTTGAAAGCACCAAAACATGTCATGTGGAAAGAGTTGGATAGGCAATGATTTTTGAGATACCTCAAAGATATTGCAGGTTCCAGACCACTGCAATAAAGCAAATATCACAATAAAGCAAGTCACATGAATTTTATTTCCCAGTGCATATCAAAGTTATGTTTACACTATACTACAGTAAGTGTGTAATAGCACTATGTCTAAATAAACATTGTGCATACCTTAATTTAAAAATACTTTATTGCTAAAAAATGCTAATCATCATCTGAGTCTTCAGTGAGTCACAGTAGTAACATCAAAGAACTGATCACAGCTCACCTTTACAAATATAATAATAATGAAAAATTTGAAATATTGTGAGAATTACCAAAATATGACACAGAGACACAAGCAAGCAAATGCTATTGGAAAAATGGCACTAAGAGACTTGCTCAATGCAGGGTGGCTGCAAAACTTTAATTTGTAAAGAACACAGTATCTGCACAGTACAAGAAAGTGCAACAAAACAAGGTATGCTTGCATTTAGCCCTGGGAGATCAACTTGGTGATGCTCTGTGACCACCCAGAGGAGTGGGATAGGGAGGGTGGGAGGGAGATGAAAGAGGGAGAGGATATGGGGCTATATGTATACATATAGCTGATTCACTTTATTATACAGCAGAAACTAACACAACATTGTAAAGCAATTATACTCCAATAAAGATGTTTTAAAATAATTAATTAATAAAAATAAATAAAGGGCTTTAGTGAGCAAGAAGAGTTTAACATCTTCTATGTAGGATGAGGGGAAAACCTAGGGTCAATTGTCCAAAATTCCAGAGAGATGGCAGTCAGCTAGATATATTTTCTAACAATGAGAGCTATCTGTCTATAGAATGAGTCTGCCTCTGAAAACAATGAATTCTCATCACTGGAATTATTAAGCATGGAATGGAATTTGAGGACTTCATAAAAGTGACTCATCCTAACAACCAAGTGAGCTATGGGCTTTATTGTACCTTCTAATGCCAAAACTCTACTCAACCCATGATCTCCTTAGGGAAAATATTTTCCAGATGGATTCTACTGAGGGTTAGCCCCAGTTAAGTACGTATATTTCATCCATAGATTAACTGTTTATTTTTATTTTGAGCTATTTTCAGAGCTGCCTTTGTTCTCTATTTTGAGCTATCTGAGAGGACCTCTGAGAGGACCTAGGTAAACATTTCGGCTGCAAAGCATTTGTTTATTGTGTTGACAATGAATAATTACATTGCCATCTGCCCCATCTATCATTGCTGATCACGATAAGCCAGTTAATGCCGGACATTTTCCTTGGCGCAGTGCAGCAGTCGTTATCTGAAGAGCTGTAGATTAATTGCAGTCTTGTCTAGTGAGGTTATTGTAATTGATGGTCATTATTTGCTTTGTTTTATAAAGCTGTGTGGATGTACGACACAGTCAGCAACTGTGTTTTTATAAAAATTATTCATGTCCTACACAAGAACTCCTGGATGCATTGTCGGGGATTGGTGACAAATGAGCATATTCAGAGATTCAAACGTCTCGATTTTTTTAAGATGGGAAAATTAACCGTTTTTAATAAGTAAGACATTTAGCTTGCTAATCGTGTCTGAGTGGTTAGATTAATGTCTAATACAAAGTAGGGTATTAATGAAAAGATAAAAATATATATTAACCAGGAAAAGGATAATATTTGAAAAGAATCATGCCCATGGATTAAGTTGCAGCAGTGAGTCTAGATAAGAAGAATCTTTCTTATTTGGGGAAATAGGAAGTATTCATTTTGAAAACCTTCCTTAAGTTCTTCACTTCAAAGGGTTAAGGGGGTACACTGAGAATTGCACCAGCTACTTCATGGAATACCTGTGGCCAGATTCTCCTGTTTATTTTACCCACTCTTCACATGGCTAGTGTGCTTCTGCTGTGTGCTGAGCTCAAAACCCAGCTCCTGCCCAGAGAAGCATACAGTCTATTGAGGTTTACATATGTTTATAATACAACATAATATGGGTTATACTTGAGGATTGTTCTGGAAAGGGAATTATGAAATAACTCTCTCTGGATTGTATTAAGGAGAGGATGGATGAATAGCTGTGTGACCTGACACAGTTGCTGCTCCTTATGAAGGTTGGGTAGAAATACATCAACTTTTCAAGTCTCAGCCTCTTGA